TTTAGCTCAACTCTATCTAAATGGGAATGCTGTTGCAAACTTGGTAAATAAATTGAAGTCAAAGTGGAGATTTGACTTCATTTATACTTGCTCGTCACTCAGTGATAAAATTTTCATCCAAAAAAAAAAAGGTAGTTCATTTGCTTCTTAGTATAAAGAAAAGCAAAATGTAAGGCACCTAAATATTTTCAAATAACCTTTACACAGTGAAAATTAATGTTCTTTAGAAGTTTTAGAAACAGATTTTTTTTTCTTTCATAATTTAGACCGGATGCCTAACACATAGACTAGAATAATTCGAAAATGAGTGTTGGCTGAACAATTGAATAAGTAAACTCTCTGAATCAACTCACTAAAATTCCATTGCCCTCACTTTTATCTTTGTAAAATTTCACTGGCTTTCAATAAATTCTAAATACAGAAAATGTGATTGAATTTGTGAAATTTATCCAAGGTTGGGAAATTACTGCTGCTGAAATGTGAGGTAAAGACACTGTACTAGAGTTTCTGTCAATGGCTAAACAAGAACTAGGAATTAAACCTATCCTGTCCAGTGAATATGCTGAGAAATGCTGTGGATGACATTTATCATACATCTGGGACCCAAAGGATTCAGGAGATGCCAAGCTCCACTTCCCCTGAGGCTCATACAACCATTTCCTCTATTTCCTTGAAGAACTTTATCAGGGTATCTGATAAAATATTTTAGCTTTCCATAACAATTTTCTTCACAGTCTTACAAATACTTTTATAACTGTCCTTTAAAAGTAAGATAGTCAAGGATCCATGTTGTCTCTTAGACAACAGGAGCTCATAAGGTGACACAGCTAATGGAAACAGAATTAACATCTTCAGGTTTTTGGCAAAGCAGACAATAGAGGAATCCCCGATTGAGCAGGTCCCATAATAACCATCTCATTATTAATGGCTCTTAAATCTTGCAATAATCTCCATTTACCAGATTTCTTTTTGATGACAAAAATGGGAGTAGTATGGGGAGATAATAATATTGGGTTTATTTCACTTAACTTTGGCATCTTATACTTAAGGGAGATTAAAGTATTATTTCACTTTCATCTGAAGTGATGAATTTGTTAGTTTCAGAATGGTGACCTTGTATACTTGCAGCCACCACTTGTTTAACATTTACCACTACACATATACATATGTTACTTGATAAATTTTATATACTTTATTACATATGATAAAACTTCATAGGTAATTTTATTCAAAATGCAAAGAAATGTTTGTTACATTTGCATATCTTCACACATGCTACCAAAACACTAGTGATCTGTTGCTGTCTTCACATAAGAGTATGTGAATGATAAGCTGTTAGAAGTAAAAGAGCTCATAGATATAAAATTCTTAGCATTACATTTAGTCCAAGTCCTCATTAGATGCACATGAAAATCATGATAATTTACTCCAACAATGATTGAACATTTGCAAGAATCCTTAGTGCTATACAAGTGTGTTTTTGTGGCTTACTAATTGTTGCATATTAGAAGAGAAGGTAAAGCTTGATTCCTTTGATCAGGATTTCTCAACTTGATCACTATAGACAGGTAGGCACATTGTTCCTTGCTCTAGGTGGCTTCCTTGTGCACTGTAGAATGCAGCATCCCTGGGCTTTCACATACTAGACAGCCATAGCACTATCTTCCTCCCCATTTGTGACGAACAAAAATGTCTCCAGACATTGCTGCATGTCTCCTGGAGGACAAAATTGCTCTTAATTGAAAACTACAGTCTTTGATCAATTCTTTGTGAACAGTGTTCATGGAATACTGGCCTAGTGAAATTCTCCACTAAAAACTCCCAGAGTCAGATGAGATGAGAAGCATTTAAAAACAATTTAACAGCAATAATAATAATAATGTTATTTTTTGGTTAGCTTATTACATGTGACAAATTGTTCTGTTCTTATTAAATCCTTATAAAAGACTGAGTTATTATTGTAGGGCACATTTTTCATATGAGCAAATGGAGCCCCAGAGAAATCAAGGGCTTAAACTGACCACCATCATAAAATTAGAAAGTGGCACACCAGAGTTTGTTTCCGAGCCACCTCCAGAGAGTGTGCAGTTATCCAGACACTATTGTCCCTTGCATAGCCAGCTTAATTGAACATTCAAATTGGGATGTTAATAATAATTATTCTTAATTTGTGATATTTATTAGGTATTTATCTCAAGCACTTACAAAATTACCTTTTGTCTTAATCAGTTGATGACAACCTCCTAATTATTTGCTAAATGGTTGTCCTCATAAACATCTTTGGATACAAGCAACGTAGTCACTTTCCCTGAAAAATTAATCAAAATAACCTCAGATAAATTCAGATGGCCAGTCACTGAGGAGGGAGAAACTCACTTTGCTTTACGAAAGCAGAGAACATTTAACAGGGAGATAATATTTGAATTGGGCCTTTAATCATCCTGTTAAAGTTGGATGACTAAGTGTCTGCCAGGTGGAATGGCATTTTAATCAGAGTAAACAGGATATACAAAGGACAACTGTAAGGGTTTGATATGCTTGGGGAATGGTGGGAGCCAAGGACAGGAAGTAGGAAAATAAGAATAGAGGGAAGGTTGGGGTCTTCATTGTTATTTCTGCCTGATCCCCACAGGCATTTGACTCTGTCTCTTTAACTCTTAACAGCAGCAGAAGGTTGAGAGCACAGTAGTGACATGGTCAGGTAGATACTTAACCATGTAGCTAAAGTGGATGGTGTTTGGTGGTAGGAGCCCCCATGAACACTAAGGCAGCACTTTCAACAAGAGATAGCGAGGTAGGGTAGAGCAAGGGGTTGGGTATGAGGGAGGTTATTAAAATGAAGGATAGGGAAAATCCTCCTCTAACTGGGCTTTTAGAAGAAATAAGTAGAATTTATTTGTTTCCTTTATATTAATCTTATTTTAAGTGCTTAACTCAAAAGCTAATTCAAAATTTGATTAATTCATCCATATATCAATCATGTATTGAGTATCTAGGGCCAAGACAGTTCTATGAAACAAAATAATGCACTTTCAAGGAACTAATGGAAATGACTTGGTAGCTATTCTGGCAGGAGAATTTTCGGTAACCTACTATAGATTCTACAGATGATCTTCTGGAAGCAGTTCTCATCCCCATTTGGATTTGCCATAGAAATTGAAAATTCAAATTGTTTGGTTCAGAGCTACAGGAATTGTATTCCTCCCTTTTTGGTCCAGACCATTGTCTGCATTTCTGTCTAACTATGTCACCTGGGAATGATGAGTCAGCATTTGTGGAGATTCAACCAGATGTTGAATCTCCACAAATGAATGTTGAAATGTTGAGAAGACAGTGGCCCTAGATACCCATACATGATTGTTATATGGATGAATCAATCAAATTTTGAATTCACTTTTAAGCATTTAAAATAAGATTAATATAAAGGAAAAATACCCCTTCAAGCCTTCAATAACAATTTTCCTATTTCATTCCTTACTGCAATAGCAAATGGATCATGCCCCAAAGTACTCTAGCATCTAAATACCAAATGGACTTTTACCTCTATGTGTTATACAATAGATTTTTATGACTTTATTATTTAAATTCAAAATTATCATATAGTCCTACATATTTTACCATGTTATTTTTTTCCAAATGTCTTCCTCAAACTATACCTTTAAATAATTTTCCATACTTCAGTTTATTTAAAATGAAGCATTTTATTTTACCACTGACATAGATTTTATAATCCCACCCCTCTATGTTTAGAAGGAATGTTTCAATAATGTTTAGAAATTATGTTTCAATAATTTTTATAGTTGTGACTAAAGCCATAAACAGTGGTCTTATCCTACTAAATTAATAGTCTTTAATCCACTTTTCAGATGGGCAGATAGAAGGTCAGTACAGTAAAACAAGATCTCATAGTTCCCTAACTGTACTATAAAGATCAAACTTGGGTCTGCAAACACAGAAAAAACTGTGTGCTTTCTATGACATCCTTCTTTTTTATTATTTTATTTTACTTTTTAGTTTTCGGTGGACACAACATCTTTATTTTATTTTTATGTGGTGTTGAGGATCAAACCCGGTGCCCTGCGCATGCCAGGCGAGCTACCGCTTGAGCCACATCCCCAGCCCTATGACATCCTTCTTTATACATATTTTACCACCTTTCTATTTCAGCTGAATTTTCACATGAACTATAGCTGATATGTTGCCCCATGTTGCTAGTTTTAAGGATCTCTTACTTACCTGTGTTCTGGAATACCATTGTTATCTCTGTGCTTAAAAGACTAATTGATGGCCTTACCTGCTTATATTAAAAAAAAAAAATAGATTGACAGGGCAGATTAAATTATAAATACTCAAAGTTATAATTGTATATCATTAATAGTAACATATCTTCCAACACATTGTGGCTTGGGCCAAGAAACAGACACTGCTACCTTAGCTTTGTGGAATATCACTTTAGAAAACTATTCACAGGGCTGGGATTGTGGCTCAGTGGCAGAGTGCTTGCCTTGCACGTATGAGGCACTGGGTTTGATCCTCAGCACCACATAAAAAAAATAAACAAAATGAAGGTATTATGTCTGTCTACATTTAAAAAAATTTTTTTAGAAAAGAAAACTACTCACAAAATATTTCAAGATCCAAGAAATAATGATGTACATAACCTTTGTCACTAATTTTAGAGCTAGAGCTATATGCAATGGTAAAAATCTTTACTCACAATGTTTTTTTTTTAAACCAAATATAAACGTTTTTACTTTGATAAACATGGACAAATTCAAAACTTCTAAATAAATGTCATTGCCTTTCCTGCCTGGACACCTTCCCCACTGCAAAATAGGAGATACATTTGGTCCAAATCATCAGGATAATTGATTTAGACCTGTTTCATTTGTGATAGGGAACTTCAGTCCTAGAATAAAAATCTAATGTTCTATCTGCTATGAAAGAATTAATAGTCTTATTACTTCTTACACGCTCTTTTTTTTATGTGAACATTTTAGGTATATCAATACATGCATGAAACGATAACTGTTAATGGCTGTCCCGAATTCCGTGCAAGGGCCACAGCAAAGGTAAGGTTTGAGTAACTTTAAAAATATACTTGACCACAGTGATCTAGTAATTGACTGTGCGCGTGTGTGTTTCAGGTATTCTCGTGTGTACACTGTAAGAGAATTTAGACATCAGTGGCAGCCCAGAGTCTAGAACCAGTACTACTTCCCAGGTAAAAATCCTAATGGAAAATTGAACGTTTCTGCTGCTTCTGTAGCTTAAGAAAGGAGAATGATTTCATTAAACTCACTGAATGTCCATTTGGCACAAGCAAATCTCCTGGCTCATTGTATAAAATACTACATGGTTTTCTAACACATTCCTCTGCTCCAAAAGAACCTATATACTACTCAGTGTATGAAGATTCCTTTGCTCAGGTCTAAAGACCCAAAAAGAAGTTATGTATGACAGTAACTCACCTGCACCCACTGATGCATAATCTTCTTTGTATTCAGCTGAGCAGTGGGTAACTTGCTGAAAGAATGTGGCATTTACCTAAAGGGAAGACCTGTCACATTTTGTGGTAGTGACCACTGTGCACTTTAAAAACCCCAAATCCAGACGTTACAGAGACCCTCGTAATGAAAATGCTATAGCCACACGATCATGAAATTTTCTGGAATCTCTACCATTAGGAAACAGTTTTAATCTAAAATCACTGATGCAATTCACATTTCACAAATACAGAAATGTTATAATAGAACATGACTTGCTTTTTAAAGACTTTTCTCTAATAATGTATGAGCACTAAGAACCAGTGAAAATAATCAGAATTTTCCATTTAATTCTTTTTTTTTTGTTACATCACCTGTTTTTTGGTTTCTCTTCTGATTTTTTAGTTTTCATTTTGTAACTGAACACTGTAGATTTGTACTTTTTTTTTTCCTAACCCAGGCTAAAAAAGGGTATTATTACCATTACATCATGCTTTGCTTGTACTGAAGTGGAACACGCACAGAAAAATGATCCCTACATGGTTTAATTAAGGGGAAAGTGAATTATGTAGTGTTTTACCATTCTCATTTCTTATTCATGTAGAACAGCAGGAGAGCAGCATAATGTTGCAATAGCACAATATTTTCTGGTTGTTTCTGGGCTGTCTGCATTGCATCCATGTCAGCCATTAAAACCTATGCATGACAACAAGGTTTGCATGAGCAAATGCATGTAGCTAAAAACAAGCCATTATTTCCATATCATTCACTATCTTTCACTAAATGCAGGCAGTAGCATAATGCTAAATTGATGTGATAATGCTGTGTGTGGAAAAAGAATGTACAGTAGTTGGGAATCAATATTTTCACAGGGTTGAGTAAATCACTTTATAGTAAGTATCTAATCAACTGTGGTTAAGTCAGACTAATGGAAGTAGAAAAAAAGAAGCAGGCAGAGAATCTTTTCCTGATTGAAACTACTCAAATGCTGTTATTTTATTCCTATGTGGGGTGGGAACTAATGGTAAGTTGTTTTCTGGAACTTCTTTAAGGAAATTAATGTATGAATTTTAAAATAAAATTTTGTTCATGTTAAATGACATTTTGTACATCCAGGTAGAAAGCCATGAAACTACTCATTTTGCCTGTTACCATAGTAGTTGAAATATTAATGTAGGTGAAAAAAATCTTCTGCCAGATAAGTGTTCTCCCATAATAATACGGAATATTGGTATGAATAATAATAATAATCTGAGTTCATTATTTAATTTTAATTCGTATTTTCTTTTAGATATGCTCAGTTAAAAAAAAACTTTAAGTTTATTAAACCAGTGATCTGGCAATAGCAAATTATATACATATTCCCAAGAGTATACACGTGTAAATGCTCTTCAGATTATTGAATATTTATAAGCATTCATGTGTAAGCATCAGGGTAGACTGTGTGTCTTTTTAAAAAATGCAAGACATAATCTGTCATTAAGGTGTTCACAGTCAACATATGTACAAAATACTTATAATACTAGGTAGTATATGTACCAAAACTATTTGGAGCCCAGGAATAGGAGTATTTGCATAAGTGAGCTAGCTACCTTAAGTAATATAGTAGATAAGCTTTATGAGCTTGAAAACAGGTGGGTGGGGTTTGCCAAAGAAAGGAATCCTAGATGGCATCTAAATGAAGACAGGCCCCTCCCTTCTGGGTTTCTCTTTCACAGGAAAATGCCAAAAAAAAAAAAAAAATTAAGAAGTTGCGTGAGTTGCCCCCTACAAAGCACATTAGCTTTCTTTCCCTCATTTTATTACCAAAAGACCATCTTTTCTTTCAGGCCACAGTTGCAGCATTTGCAGCTAGTGAAGGCCACTCCCACCCTCGGGTAGTCGAACTGCCAAAGACTGATGAAGGCCTTGGTTTTAACGTGATGGGAGGAAAGGAGCAAAATTCTCCCATTTATATCTCTCGCATCATTCCTGGAGGGGTGGCTGAAAGACATGGAGGCCTCAAAAGAGGAGACCAGCTGCTATCGGTGAATGGAGTGGTATGTTCATAAAATAATCAGAGATTTTTCTCCCTAAGTATGTTCTTTTCTTTTTTTTTTTTCTGCTATTGCTAAAGTCATTGTGGAAATCCTAGAACAGATCTTAATTTTGTATCCAACCAGCTTCCTGAGGATTGATGGACCTTAAACTTTATAAGAGTAGTAATTTTATATTTTTATGTTTCATCTTGTTCAAATATGATCAATATCAGCTAGTAGAAAATCACCCCAAGAAATTATCCCAACTTATGGAATTTTTCCCCCAAAGTACTATTGTTGATTAATGTTTAGAATAACATAATAATTTCAAGGTACTTTTTATTTTAAGTTTCTGTAGCAAATGCACATATTTTAAAAACAAAGAGAGCTGGGCATGGTGGCTTATGCCTGAAATCCCAGCAACTTTGGAGGCAGAGGCAGGAGGATTGCAAGTTCAAGGCCAGCTTTGGCAACTTAGCAATGCCCTCAGTACCTTAGTAAGACCCTGTCTCAAAAGAAAAAATAAAAAGGACAGGTGATGTGGCTCAGTTTTTAGAGCACCCCTGGGTTTGATCCCTGGTGCAAATAATAATAATAATAATAATAATAATAATAATAATAATAATAAAACATCTTACTTTATACTGTATATGTGTTATTTAGTTTAAGAAGAATACTTTTTGTTACTGAGGATTGAACCCAGGGTGCTTTATCACTGAACTACATCCACAACCCTTTATATTTTTTGTTTTGAGACAGGGTCTTGCTAAGTTGCTGAGGCTAGTAGTGAATTTGTGTTCCTCCTACCTGCCTCAACCACCCAAATTGCTGGGATTATAGCCATGACTGTACCCAGAAAGAGGAAACACAAGAAAAGGAAAATACACTCAATTTTTAAGCCATGTGTATAATTATAAAATAATGCATACGTAGTAGTATCCCTCTGCCATAAAGTTTGGCCACATTATCTCTGCATTTTATAATACTTTTTCAATGGAATTAAATTAAATTAAATTCAAATATATGTTTTAAATTGAACATACAAATGTACATTTATTTCAAAGCTTCATATTCTTTGGATGCAGTTCTGCCACATGGCATCCAAAATAACGAGTTGCTAAAGAAATAGCTTCATATGAATACATAGCTCTCTCTAACTTCCACTTATGTATAAATAACCTAAAAGCATAAATTTCAGAAATATAAATAAGAATATATTAATGTTTACTTATCCATTAGTCTAAGATCTTTCCTCTAAGAACTTAAGATTTGATATATAAGCTAGATGGTTAAGATTTAAGATTTAAGCTAGTTGGTTCTTTATAGTCATATTTATTTATGCTTAGAATACAATATCCAATATAAAATGTATTTAGAATGCAATATTTTATTGGTAAGAATAGAGTAAAATTCTTCCATATTTATATCTTAAATTTTGCTATTTACTTTTAGCATGCAAGTAGTTTCATACTACCAAAAAAATATTTAACTTGGTTCTTCTTTAATGAACATCAAAATTATCAATCCACAAACAGTTTATATCATTTCAGCATTCTAATTCTAAAATGCTTTGAGATAAGTTTATTATTATTATTATTATTATTATTGGTCTTGTGATAATATTACTTTTTCAAAGAATGTTCCAGTGACAATTTTAGAGCCAAAATTTCTGGTAGAGGGCTCTCAGATCTGGGCCATACAAGTGTGGCACACAGTAATCTATGCCTTGGGATATAAATTTATGATTTCTCTGAATATATTGGGTAGGCCAAAAGAAGGTATAGGTTTAAAAACAGTATGAAAAATAACAAAAATACTGAAATATAATAATTGTAATTGTACAAAGCAACAATAACTATATAGGATTGCAATTTAATAGGTAATTGACTTTGGGCTATCAAGGGAGCTGAAAAGCCTCTGTTCGACCCACACATTCACAGGGAATACAGCTATAAGCATTACACACTCATCCATTCCTTGCAGTGACCTTGTGGTGAACCTGGGAGGTGGCAGGGAAAATTGAAGCAATGGAATCAAACAGATGGGGTTCTAACCATTCCATATCCATATGATTATGGGTTAATCTCCTCTGAACCTGAGTTTCCCTATCTGGGAAAGAGAAATAGTAAATCATTTCAAGGGCACTGATAAAAATTACAGTGAGGCAAAATATTCATTAAAAAGAGTCCTGTAATAGTATGGTCACACTCAACTCAGATAGGCAAAAGTGGCTACTGAAGAAGCTGAGATGGGTGAGGCACAACAATCCCAATTATATCATTTTTGCTATTTATATTAAAAGAAAGACTTAAAGCAAATTCTTCTCCACATATAGGTAGATGTTAGCAAATATTTATTAGCAAGAAGGTAGTAATGGACTCTTACAACCTCTTCTATAAATTTGATGACATTCCACTCTGTCCATTCATAACCTTGGAGAAAAATATTCTCTTGAATCAGATAAGACAACATAACAGGTTCAGGAATTTTTACTCATATATTCAGCCTCAGAGAACCAGAAATCCCATCAAACCAACAGTTGGAAATAGAATGGCTAATGACAGAACTTTGGTACCATCCCACTTATTCCTGCCCCTCAAATCCTTTGGTACAGGTTATAGGCACCCTTGAGATTTTTTCACTCTGTGCATGCAGAGGTGAAAAATATTTTTATATTACCATATATTTAAATCTATAGTTTTGCCAATTAACTTCTATTTATAACACATCATGCTGGTTAATCAGTCACTAAAAGAAAATCATTTGCTAAACATCATTTATTCATTGAAATAAGTATAACACTCTGTGGTGGACACAACTAAAGTACTGCCTTTCTGATATAAGGCTGGCCAACCACCCTAGACTGATTTATTAAGCTCCTAAAATTTCAGCTTAGAATATTGCACCTCTGTATGACGATATAAGCTACATACTTTAAAATGTTTAAAAGTAAGTTATATACATTTTAACAGCAGATGTTCATCAAAAAGTAGTTTTCTGTAAATGAGAAACTTCATGACCCAGAATTTATTCATAATCACACAAATAGTAATTAATGTGTAATAGTTAGTTCAATTCCAGGAATCTGGGCTTTTAATAACAGTTAAAAGTCCAACAGTATTTTCAGGGTAAATATTCCAGGAAAGTAGCAGTATTGAGTGGAAAAAAAGATTATTCTACAATGAAATGATTAGGCCTTGTAATAGAAAGGCAAAAGAAAAAAAAAACAAGCAAATGATTGAATAATTTTTATTTTTTCTTTGAAATAAGGTACCATTTGGGGAGATTAAGATTTTTTTTTCATGGCATTGTAAACATGCCCCCTTCTAAATTGAGAACAAATTTTGAATGAAATGAAGCAAAGCTACTTCAGCATAAGTACTCTGGGGATAATTCCCAACTGTCCCACTTAAAAATAAAGAAATTAGTCCATGGACATTTAAACATCTGGAGAGATATCTTAAGTGGTATCCTGATCATTTTTGTTTCTTTTTATATCCTGACTGCATATAGAAAGGATATATCATGAATCTCCTGAAAAAAATAGTAGCATGTTAACATAGAACTGTTAACATGGAGAGCTAGGTAATAAAGTAGGATGGAAAGGGGGAAAATAAATAAATAGAAATAAAGAAATGATACAGCAATTGAGCAATTGATTTTTTTCTTTGAGCTTCTTATGAGTCAAAACAGAAGGAAATTCAGACCATCTCAGCTATCATTGGGAGAGAAGTTTTTTTTTCCTATTCCTGGGCTCCAAGAGAAATTTCCCAGGGGATTTTTACAAATGAGACATTGAATCACCTAATACAATTTTACACACAAAAAAAACAGAGGCCTTTTTTGTATGGCTACTTCTTATGTAATCCTCAGTGAAAACTTACAGCTGAATACTGAATAAAATTTAACATTAATAGGAGGTCAAAATGCTAGGGTTTGAATTTATAGCTTTCTAATGATCTCCTTTTCACCCTTTTATACTCAAGTGTTTTCTCAGCAATTTTTAGAAAAGTCTGAAGGACTAATTTGAAGGTTCCAGCCAATGTGGAGCCAGCAGGAACAGTAAATATATTTAGTGATAGAGTCAAGATATTAAAAATCTCAATTGAATGGTACAATAGGCCCAACTTATTAAGAATCTACATGAAGTCCTGCTCCTGTGCCCAGAAAACTAGCTGTATATGTGCAGAATCAGGGAGTAGTGGCTAGACATCAAAGCTTGAAAATAAAAATCCTGGGGCTCTCAACCAATTTCAAGAATAATATAAGGGAAGTTGGGGCAGAGGAGGCAAAAAAAAATTAATGTGATTGTAGGGAATTTATACAATCCTATATCTTATATAGAATATAAGAGATTGACCCAGTTCTTAAGTGTACTGTTTAGCCCCCACCCTACTGGATTCTAATCTAGTAAAACACAAGCACAGGTCAGTCTATTATATGAGAACATGTTAAAGAAGGACTTGGTTTTGAGTGGTTTGAGTGGAAAAGAGTCTACTTAGGGGAATGATGACTGTCTTCAGTTGTTCAGCATTGTGCAAGGCCAGAGAGCAGAATCAAGACCAATGAGGGAAAGGTCACAGGAAATGCAAATTTCAATTCATTACAATAAAGAGCTTTTAAACAAGTCCAGGCTGTCTAAACAGAGAATGACTGAATTGTAAAGTGTTATGTGACCATCACAAATTTTGAATCAGAGATTTCGCTGCCTGACCTAGTATTTCAAAGACATGTGCCACATAGAGAGTTGGAACAGTTGACCTGAGGTACCTTCTGTAATTTTATGTCATGGAAAGGAGTTTTGCTGAAGCTACTGTATATCTGACCCCATCACTACACACACACTACCTTACACTCTGAGGTAAGAGAGTAGGTTCCACCTACTGTCCTTGTGTCCTATTCATGAGACATTTTTCTTGAATGTCAACTACAATTTAGTTCTCTACAGTTTATTAACAGTGTTTACATGACATTCTCTCATTCCTTCCTCAAAACAATAAACAATCTTATGAAATTTATAA